AGGAAGGCAATGAGCCAGAATACCTTTTCGTGGAAAGGCTTTTAATGAATGAAATTAGACTATCCAACGCGGCTTCTGTTGATTTTTCTTTCTGATATATGTGGTGGTCATTCGAATCAGGTGTTGGTTTTTCTAGGAGCCAACATAAACACTGTTAAAAAGGCCAGTCTTGTAATCCAACGCATAATCTCTTTTGCCAAAAGGTACTTCTTTAGACTGAGTAAGCAATTGAAAAATGAAGTCCTCTCCCGACGAATAAAAACCAAACTCTACAAGTCCCTCATCAATTTTATCCAGAAGCATTGAATCTATTCGATGTCGACACCTGATTATTCGGCCTTGGGAGCCTTCGAGAGAAGAGTGTGTTTGCAAACACATCGGCAACAGTGAATACCGCAGACAACGCAATGATAAGCTGTACGAGTTATACGATGACATTGACAAATGAAGAGACAGTAGTTGCGCTGGTGCTATCATGCCTCCCGAAAGGATGACAGCACTTCATCTCTAAAAGTATTCGATACTTTATTCCTGCGGATTGATCAGGTGGAGAAGGAATGAAGAAACAACTAGCGCGCTGTTGTTAATTCGGCTATTATCTTGTAAACGGTGCCTACACCAAAGAAAGAAGAAGCAGAAAAACTTGAATTTTTATCCTCAAGTTAATTTTTCCACAGTAAGGTATATACTCGTACGTGCATTCCTATGTAAATACACTTATTTTTCAAAATATGATTAATATGTATCCCAAAGCCTAAGCGCTCAGCCACTCATTGCCTCTTCACACACAGGCTCTGGCTCTTTTGCTGCTCAAAAGGGTATCAGATGAGTAAATAATCACCGCAACCAATCTCATTGCCGCCCAATGAACTTGTACGAATTTTTTATTGCTTGAGGGGAATATTTCTAGAAAATCCACCCCATTTATGTATGTGAGTATATCTAGGAGTATGTGATGCTTTTCATATTATGTTTGATCAATATCAACTGGACGATCGCTACTAAAACGCTGATCGTAGCTAAATATGAAAAGCCAAGATCAGCGTTCACTTCAAACAGTTCGTATACCCCAGACGATTGGAAAAGTGAAAAGCAGAAATTTAGCAGAAAATCAGTCGTTGCTACTTTGGACTGGATTGCATAGACAATTGGAAGGTAAAGTCCTCTCGAGATGTATAAAAAATAAGCTCTATATGCAAATCGCGGCGGCCGCGCTAGCCGAGTGGTTAGCATTGCGTACTGACATTCGGGAGGCTCGGGCTCTGGTTACGTACTAATAACCAAAAGTTATAGAAAATTAATTTATATAAAAAATTAAGTTAAATTTTCTAATTGCGGTCGCCCCCGGAAGGGAATCTCAACCCCTTCGAGTGTATTTCTGACATAAAATAAAGGCTTAATATAAAAAATCCATCAGCCGTTCGGAGGCGGCTTAGTTTAAACTGTAGATCCATTTTTTGGCAAAACATCAAGACGCAAAACCACAAATTGGAGGAGGAGCTCGCCCAACAATCGCTTCAACAGTTACGAAGCGCCAATTTTCTATATATCAGGTGTACAACTTTGCTTCCGCCGTTTTCCGATAGGTGGCTGTACCGGCTGAGGCTGGTTGAAATACATAGATGATAATGCCTTTAAAGTGAGTGTGGACAGTTCCTAACGAATTGTCATCGCCGTTTCAGTGACAGTTGTTTTTGTTTTCGTATTATTCACGCTCGAAAATATCCGTTTATGTGCCTAATTCTCTCCATTTTCGGGAAGTTTTAATTGTCTGTTACGATTCGAAAAAAATGCAGCTAAAGCGCATCGAATGCTCTCAGAAACTTACGGTGATGCTGCTCTGAGTGAAAGAACGTGTCGGGAGTGGTTTTAACGTTTTAAAAATGGTGATTTCGATGTCGAAGACAAACATGGTGGTGGAAGAGAAAAAACCTTCAAAGATGAAAAACTAGAAGCATTGCTTGATGAAGATTCGTGCCAAACCCAAGAACAGCTTGCCGAATCGTTAGGAGTGAGTCAGCAAGCCATTTCAAAACGTCTCAAGGCCCTGGGCATGATTCAATATCAAGAGCGACATGACAAAGTCATCCTCCAACACGACAATTCTCGGCCTCACGTCGCAAAAGTGGTCAAAAAGTACCTGGAAACGCTGAAATGGGAAGTATCCCCCAGATGGCACACGGCCTGGCAGATCAACATTTTCAATCCTTCGAGGAATTGGAAAAAATGGATTGCTTCATGGATAGCGTCAAAAGACGACTCCTTTTTTCGAGCGGGATCCGAAAATTGCCGGAAAGATGGGAGAAAGTTGCGCTAGCGAAGGACAGTACTTTGAATAATATATCTTTAAACACTTTTTCGCAATAAAGCTTTTAGTTTTGGAAAAAAAAGGCGGAAGCAAAGTTGTACACCTGATATATATTTAGATATAAGTCGCTCATTATTCCTGTAATACCTGAGAGTCTTGGAGCGATTTGTGGTCAGTGAAAGAAGCAACGGCTGCGCTGGCAGGACGGGTTATTCAGATGGATGTAAATACTCAAGTATTGATGAAAGTTTTCGATACAGTACCACAGTACTCGCCAGCTGAAGTAGAGGATAGAGAAACCATCCAAACAATTGGAAAGATCAAATGGTGAAGGATTTCGCTTAACTTTGGAAATCCGCCTAATAACAAGAGGAATACCGTGATATTCTTAACTATAATATGAAATCATATATCTGAATGCACTACACAACTTGGAATTGAGTTGCTATTGGAAATTAGCCATCTTCGTGCTAAGAAAAGTTGAAAACAGTTGCATTTTTTTATTTCTCCAAAACTCCACTTTCAATTCTCCTAACCACTGCTGGGCTCTAGATCCGACTGCTGCGTGCCACCGTATTACATTTATCATTTACTCTGCCTCTACCACACAGACTCTTGTTGCTATTTTCAATGTTTGCAGCGTTTGCAGCTGATGTTTTTAAGCTTATGAACCGAACGCCGGCGGCACTGAAATATGCATCAAAATAATGAGCATGGAATATGCACACTTAAATGTATGTACATATCTAAATAAGTGTATGTATGTGTGTGCGAGTGAAATTTCTGTTCAGTATTTATGTAAATATGTAAAATAATGTGGCGTCTTCCCCACACGCCGCAGCCAAGGTTGTACGGCAACGAGTTGGTAGCAAATGAGGGTGACGACGGCCAATAGCGCGATTGATAGCTCCAACGACAAGAGTGGCTGCAAGCATTAACTGAGTTTTCTCAGCGGTCGGTTGGTGGCTGCAAGGCGGCAGTGTAACAAATTGTAGCAGAATAGTTAGTTTGCGTAAAATAGAAACTGAAATACACGTAAGTACATATATACATATGTACATATGTTTGTATTGTAGGTATGCGGTAAATTGCTGCATTCCTTTTTCTGCTGACGCTCTTCTGTCACATCTGCAAATTTGCTATCATTGCCATTTGTTGTTGGAATACATGAAATAAATAATTTTTTTATAGCATTATATACATATTTATATAGATATGTATGCATATAGATTGGGTTATATAGTCCAGACCGATTTACATCTACTGCTCTATATGTAAAGTAGCGACCGCAGTGAATATTAAGCAATAAATATTGCCATCTAGTAGGAAAGTTCCAAACCCGTAGAAGCTCGTAAAAGTCTGATCGGAATCGCAAGCTTTACTTAACGTCATAAAGACCCTGATAATAAATGGTTTAAAACACAATCGTCATACTGTAGGAACCCTCATAGCAGTCATCTTTTGGAAGCCGAACTACCTAGGCATAACTGGAAGGGAATATTCGACCTAGAGGACTCTATTCAGCTCTAAAGAGCACAACAGCTTGACAGGACGACTTCCGGCAGAACCTAAACACCATTTACAAATAATCATTCAAGAACTCTCCCTCCGACACACGCGTAATACTATCACAATGAAGCTCTGGATACTGCAGTAGACTCAACTTATACTTATATTTACTTAAGATATGTCGTGAAGCCTATGAATCTGCGCACGACACTAATCAACTCTACTCCTCTGGTCGGAACCCGTCGAAAAACTCATTTGCTGGATCTACCGACGACTGGGCACAGAAAAAGAGCTGTTTTGAGGGTTTCGGTTCAAAATGAGAGGTCTCCTAGCATCTCGTGAAGACTCATTGTATGCTGGGCACTGGTTGCGTATGGCGAAAACGAGCCTCGTTAGATAATAATTAAATAAAATAACCACCATTCTGCTCGGCAGTTTCTCTAACTACGGCTGAGCGGCAACCGTATAGGCTCGTACTTTATTCCTGATGTGCCAGGAAACGGCTCTGATTTAAGCAGATATCTGGATGGGTGCCTCTACCATATCACCAAAGCAGATATTAGTGCTGTTCGGTGAGTTGAAGGGCAGCAATTATTGTTTGTGAAACCAAAAGCCAGAAAAATTTTAACCTCGAGAGCGCCATTTTTTCTGTCTAATTCTCACTGGCATTTCTCACCCGCTTCTCATTTTATTATGCTCACTGCAGTCTATTGACAAAACTGAACCTTCCTAAGCTACGTTGCTGTAGTACCCAGTGAAGAGGCGGAAAGAGTCGGTCACGCACAAGGAACAATGAACGGCGCATGAGATCAAAGTAAAGAAAGTTTCAAGTTGAAAATAAATAATCATTTGTGGAGAGAAGACCACGGTCTGCGTGGCGCCTGAATCAGAACGGAACACACTTGCTAAGAGCTGACATTTTCCAGCGCCGTCCGTATAGCGCAATCGTTAGTGGATCGAAATCGATAGCAATATGATCTTTCTGGCACAGAAGAAGATGTTTAGAGCAAGAGATTGATAAGAATGCGTCAATGAGATGTTTCTTCTAAATATATATATTTTACATACAAACCACACATACATACAAAATAGTAAAAACAAGAGTTTGTTTTATTATTTAATATTATTTTTGGAATCTATGCATTAACTAACGCGTGGCCTCTTCGTTCTCCTATATTTTCAGTACAGCGTCATCATCTTAACTGAATTCCAACGCGCTGTTTGTCGTTGTTGTTGTTATTCAAACAACATCTCCCATTTTTATATTCATCATTGTCACCCTCAGCATGTCACATCCAAATAATCGGCGCTCACAAGCGCCTACAAGTCTTGAATGCCCGCTGGCTTCGCTGGGACGCAATAGCAGTGGCGTCATCGACTCACTGACGGGGCATCACCAACCGCCATATCACCATCCCCTCAGTTCCAGCCCACTCGATCCGCAGGTTTATCAAATGTCACGTAAATCGCCAGACCTAAGCATCGATGCAGACGATATCATCTATACGCCTTCGGCCTCGCAGCAGGGTGAGGCGGTCGATGGGCTGCTCAATGAGTTGGCTAACATTGAAGAAAATGTAGAATCCACTGGCACTGCTGCATCCGCTATGAACGCAACGGTACAACGTAATCACACACTGCCCGAAATGTACCAGCTGCCGCATAGTAGCGCCCATGGTGGTGGTGGTGGTGGTGGGGTTGCGTCAAGTGGACATATAAGTAGACATCAGGGCGGACGTTGTAGTGTGCCAACGGTGTCGAGTGGTATGAACGGAAATGGCTCACGCAGCGTGCAATATTTCTTAGAGAAGAAAATGGATGCGCTGTACTTGGATAATGCGATACGCGCGCTACCGCTCGGCTCAGAGGCGCGTCATTTCGAAAGTGAACGGTACTTCCTCGAGGACGGTCTACGCAATATGTGTACTTATAATAATGGCGCTGAACGACTAGCAGGTAATTGAAGACAAATTTTGATATTTGCTATAAAAAAGTAACCAATAATTTTTATATGATCCAGAACCACACTATATGCGCCACCACACATCCAGTCCCAGTGAGACAAGCGGTTCCGATCGTTATCTGCTAAATCGCACCGGTTCGCCGACGGATGCTTTCAATTCGTCGAATCGTTTGGAAAATTTTACCAACTCGGGCAACAATGTTGCGACACCTAACCTTGCACTTGATCAACGTTTCCATCATACCAAAGTGAAAAGTCTGTCCGAAGGTCTCTGCAACCTCGGTCGGTTCTCACCTAGTCTAGATCAAGGTTACGCCACACTTGTTTCACCTTCGCCAACGGGTCATCATCCGACCACCATCACTACCCACGGCATTGTGCATCATCCGCCACCATCCAATACTACATTAACGGCTGTGACGCGCACTCGTCACGACAATGTTGCGCCACCACCGTGGAATAAGAAGACCTTCAGATCGGGTCCGCTCTTCGATCGTTTGCCAGACGATGTGGTTTTAAAGATTTTCGAGTGGTTCGACAGTTGTGAGTTGTGCAATTTAGCGCGAGTGTGTAGACGGTTTGATCAACTCGCCTGGCGGCCAACACTTTGGAAGATGATCTCGCTGAAAGGCGAACATTTAAATGGAGATAAGACACTAAAGATGATTTTCCGCCAACTGTGCGGACAAACTTGCAATGGCTCGTGTCCGGAAGTGGAGCGTGTTATGCTCTCCGACGGCTGCAGAATATCGGACAAAGGTTTACAATTGCTAACACGACGCTGCCCAGAACTGACACACCTGCAGTTGCAGACGTGTGTGCAGGTGTCCAATCAAGCGGTACTCGATGTACTGACGAAATGTACAAACTTACAGCATCTCGATGTGACAGGTAAAACAGTTAAAAGAAACTCGAAACAAAACAAAGCTTAAGTGGCTCTTTCCAGGTTGTAGTCAAGTGATCAGTATCAGCCCTCATCCGAACATGGAACAACCACGTCGTCTGCTGCTCCAATATTTGGATCTTACTGATTGTCTTAGCCTAGATGATATAGGTCTTAAAATTGTAGTGAAAAACTGCCCTCAGCTTGTTTACCTTTATCTAAGACGATGCATAAAAATCACAGGTGAGTGATATTCGTAGAACACCCGCCTGAAGTTAAAACTAAAACTATTTTTTTCTTTTCTCAAATAGACGCTGGCTTAAAATTCGTGCCAAGCTTTTGCATTGCCCTAAAGGAGCTCAGCATATCCGATTGCATTAATATCACCGACTTTGGCCTCTATGAGCTGGCTAAACTTGGCGCTATTCTGCGATACCTCTCTGTGGCGAAATGTGATCGCGTCTCAGATGCCGGTCTCAAGGTGATCGCGCGTCGATGTTATAAGCTGCGTTATCTGAATGCGCGTGGCTGTGAAGCAGTCAGCGATGATTCAATCACTGTCTTGGCACATTCTTGCCCGCGTTTGCGTGCACTCGATATCGGTAAATGTGACGTGAGCGATGCAGGATTGCGTGCACTAGCCGAAAGCTGTCCGAATCTTAAGAAACTCAGCCTACGGAATTGTGATATGATAACCGATCGAGGCGTACAGTGTATAGCATATTACTGCCGTGGTCTGCAACAACTAAACATACAGGATTGTCAGATATCAATCGAGGGTTATCGGGCGGTTAAGAAATATTGCAAACGCTGCGTTATAGAACACACAAATCCAGGGTTCTGTTGAGCACTGAAAAGATGCGAAGCGCAAAGGAGAATCGTGAGATAAAGAAAAGAGGCAATATAATTTACTATAGAAGTGTTGATATGTTATATGTATGTATATATACGAGTTTAGCTTAATTTTTTGTTTTGGCAATAAAAATTAATAACCGGAAATGAAAATGCAGTCTAGTAAAAATGCTGAGGACAAGATTTCTTATGTATATTTTTTATCTATTTTATCTTCGAAACTCTAAAAACTCAACTCTGGGCGTTTAAAATTTCGTACGAGTTTTAAGAAAAAAGGGTCTCGTTCCATTAATATACTCTAGTTAACTGCTAATAAATACTCAAAAAGCTTGGCTTTTCAATTTTAAAACAATTGTTTAATGCATTTAAAATTATTTGATAATTTTAATTCATACTTAAGCTCCTTTCTTAATTATTAAATTAACCGGATATAGCAAAATTATTTTCTTTTGTAAATTCCTATAATCGTTTCATTGTTTTCATTTACTATTTATATCTAAATATATTTAGGTATATCTTAATGTCTTTGAATATAAGAAAGAATGTAAAATATTTAAAAAAAAAAAATTAAAAAGTGTTACGCAAAAAGGAAACAGATAAAGCAATGTTTAGTGTAATTGTAAGCTATGTAGTTTGTTTTGTTTATGTAAATTATTTCATTTTATGCCGCAAATAAAATAAATAAGTATCTGTCAATAATAAATGATATGAGATAATTAAATTATAATTTTTTTTTTTGTTGTAAATTTGTCTTTTTTAATACGGCTTCACCTCAAATAGGAGTTTAAATTACACTTTTTTTAAAGTAACGTCGGAGTTCAAAAATGAAATAAAAAATATTAAATACAAAGTTTGTATAAAAATTTTAATCGGTCGAATTTGTCGTTATTTAAATGATTTAATAGTCTAACCTCGAACTTCCGACTTTTTGTTTATAATTTAATACACTTTATCAAATTTTTAATGCCTCTATCACCCTGTCGTTGCAGTGCAGTGCTGCCAAGTTCGTTAACACTCAAAAACATCTGATTGGCCGCAATATTTTTCAGGTTAGAAACGATTGTGTAATGTCAGATTATAAACATGCAATTGCAGTAGTTTTATTTAATTTTCGTTTGAGTTGTTAATTCTCGGCACGAGCCAAAATAATATTTCACAACATTGAATAACACTAAACTCATATAGCATGGCTAAGTATTTGGCGCAGATAATTGTGCTTGGCGGACAAGCTATTGGTCGTGCATTTGCGAAAGCTTTGAAACAAGAGATTGCAGCATCACAAGAGGCGGCACGTCGTGGAGGCGGTGGACCGCAGGGTGAGAAACGCGCCGAAGCTAATGCACGTTCAGGTATTTGGTGATAGTTTAAATTAGCTAAAGCAATGTTGATTGTTAATTAGCTCTTTCTAATACGTTATAGGCATGACATTGGAGGAGGCCAAACAAATATTGAATGTGGATGATTTGAAAGATTTAGAAAAGGTTATAAAAAATTATGAACATTTATTTGCGGTAAATGAAAAAGCGAAAGGTGGTTCCTTCTATATACAATCAAAAGTGTTTCGTGCAAAAGAACGGATTGATCAGGAAATTAAACAGCAAATGGAAGATATGCGTTCAAAACAAAGGGAAACGCGATGAGATGCAAAAGCATTGTGATAAAATGCACATAATTGTTAGTTTTCTATAAATAGGTTTGTTTTTAGACTATATACTTTAATTTAAGCAGTAAACAGTAGCTATCGAAAATGTGGAAAAGGATGAAATTGTCTGGTGTAAACAAAGCGTTGACAAGTAGTAGTACTATTGGCAACAGACTTGCAAACTATACCTGTCAAATTGTGAATATATTTATTTATGCCGAATGTATGCTAGCCTAAATAATGAAGATTCAGGTTACACATAGTGATTTTCAATTAAATAGCATGCAAAGCTGATATATCATGTTAAAATATTCATATTTATTTTTGAATCCTGAATCTCCTGCTTTTACGAGAACATTAAAAGACTACATGCATGCTTTGCAAAAAGAACAATACAAACTAGCACATGTTATTTAAATTAAAGAATTAGATAAATGTTTTTTATTTAACAATTTAATATATAAATTAAGCAGGAAGCAGAGTTTCACCTTTTAAGTTAGTTTATCTCAATCGTAGAAAATATTGCAATATTTTAGCCAAGATTTCAGACAGATTGTAGTTGCCACACTTGGTTCACTGAAACAAGATGTATGTGCTACTGCTTGGAGTCCATGCTATACCTGAAGGGTATATACTGATTCTATATAATTGAAGTTTAATAAATGTATAGTTTATTGCATATAAAATTAATCCTTGGTGTATAATTACTAGTATTGAGAAACTCTCCTGTAATATTTAGATTACTTTGACCAACTGATTGATTGGTAAGTTGAATAGTATGCAAACACTTTCACTATATTTGAATTTAAAAATAAAAACTAGTCGGTAGTCATTTCAAATTGAATGCTTTTGTTATTACGTCCAGTCGTTTCAATTTTTGCTTAGTTTATCGTTATCGAATTTATCGATTCTCTTCATGGAATATGTAAGTAATGCAGATGATTTGATGCAACTCTGCCATTTGTAACAAGTGCAAATACAAAGTAAAGACAACAAAATAGAATTTGTTATTGCTTCAATACTCGTCTACACCATTTGTGTAAATATTCAATTTTCATAAAAATTAAAATTATTTATGATATTAAGGTAGTTACCCTGGTGAACCTTAAACAAAACAAGATAATAAAAGTGCTTACGTAAACGTCAGAAATCAGTGAAATTCCAGCACAAAGAACACGTCGAACATCCATTGTCAACCACCACCCACTGTGGGCTTCGAAAGGAAGACCAAACCAGAAACGTACCCATTTACCTCTGTTATCGTTCTGCATGAATAGTTGTGCAGACATTCCAACGTGAGTAAAATTTTACAATGCAGCGAAATTCTGTATAGCGGACTAATGCTATATAGTGATTGTTATTCCTTTGCAGTGACAGTTTTCAGAGGACCTTCGCGAAAGTTGGAAGCAAACTTGAAAAGTCTCCATAGTTAAGAAAAGATATTAAATAAAACTTCATATTGAGGCAGTAAGCAACATTGTTAAGCAAAGTGGCCAAAGTTCAGCAATTCTATATACTATAGTACGCCTATCTTGAGCGAGGTTGCATTTAATATCGATTGAAGTGAAAATTTTTCAAAAATGAATTTTGGTTGAAAAAGATTAAGTAATAACGGGTCTTAGTTAAATATATAATAATTTTCAAACATATGTACATATCTTATTTCAGAAATCCGAAGCATTTAAAAATCATACTTCCAAATTTATTGATTTGCAATTGGCCTTTCGAAAAACTTGAGTGAAATAAATTTTTATTTCACTTTGCATTACTTTTTTGCCAAAATATTATAGTCACACAAGTGAAAATATTTCAACTATAATTTTTGTGGTTAACTTTAAGAAACAAATGTAAATATCTTAACATTGAAAAGTTCACATATTAGAGAAAAAGTGAAAAAGAAAAATTGGAAAAACAGAATAATCTGCAAAATAGTCAACAGACAACGTAATCGTATAGAGGAAAATAAAACTCAGTGCTCGTTTTAAGCCACTCGTGAAACGCGAGAGATTCGCCCGTGTGTTATACGCTAGCAGTCAACCCTTGTTTTCCTATTCAGGGCGATATTTGTACATTCCAAAAAAAAGAAAAAGTAACGAAAACGTAGTGACGCGCGTCTTAAATTCGACCACCCACTAAATAAGAAATACCGACAATTGCACACGAGAGAACCTCATCTTCTGTTTGGTGGTGTGCTCTTTACATTTTGCTCTTCCACGCACTAGTTACTAAGTTAAGCCCATAATCGGCACGCCGTCTACGAGTCTGTAAAAAAAAAAAATACAAGCAACTATACAAGTAACTTGGCAGTTAAATCCTCATATGAATATATGCACACATATACATAATCATTGATTTGTGTACCTACAAAGTAAGATAGCAAGTGCATCCTTGAGTAATAGACAAGTTTCACGTTAACAACAGGAATTAATAGAAAATAAAAATGTTCTCTGGTCTAACAAATCAATTCACATCATTGGTGGGCGCCGTCAAGGGCGGTCAAGCCGACGAAGATGTACCTGCACCTACCCAGGATGCTGTTGGCGCATCAGAAGTACCCGCTGCTGCAGCAGCACCAGCATCAACTGCAAGCGCCGAACAAGTAGCGAATGCGGCTGGTGTTGGTGGAGAGCAGCTTCTTGAAGGTGAAGAGGGTGCTAAGAGGTGAGTAGGATAAAACCGCGAATTTGCATTATTAAATGTTTATACATAAGAATTACTGAATGAAAACTATGAACATATAAATGACTATTTTTAATGCTTATGAATGTAGTTATTTTTAGTATATATCTACATATGTATGATGGCTTAATTAAACAGGAACTGAATTGAATAGCATAGTGTTTATTTATACGTAATGTATGTATGTATTTAATAACTTGAAAACTAAAATCTAGAAAAAAATATGAAAAATGAAAGATTAGAATTTTATTCTATATAAATTATGTACATATGCATATAAATATGTGCGTGTCAGTTAATTTAGACATTTGATTTCTCACATTTATTTTTGAAAAAGTTTTAAATGAAAATTAACTTTTGCAAAAGCGCGTGACTGTTACAACATTGCAATAAGAAAGTAAAAAAAAAAGGAAAAAATATATGTAAGAGCTGCGCCCAAAGTCTGCAAACTCGTTTAAAATCGTGCCAATGGCGAGAGTAACACTCCAAAATAGGAGTACAAATATCTATGTATGTATGTATTTAAATACTCACATATGACCTCCATTCTTGTTAACTGTTATCAATATGTAACAGACCGCAACGAACGAAGTGACACAATTCCTTTTTTACATACTAAACTTATTGTACAATATTTGATATAAATACCTTTTTTTTTAAACAAATCTCTCAGCAATAATACAAGAATTATAATAATAAAAAAGCAAAGTAATAATAAGTGATAATCGTAAAAGACAAATTCCAAGCGAATTATATCAAATATATACATAAATACATATCCACGTATGTAAATGCTGTAATTACGTGATAATGCAAATTATGGGTTTTAATTACCTTTTTAAATGGGTATCCACCTTTACGAATCAACAAAATTCGGGTTCCTTATAATGACTTTCTCTTGCTCATTATGTTTCGTGTATTACCTACACATGTAATGTGCATTTGTATACGAAACCCCCGTTGTGTTGGGTATATTGAAAAATAATTATGCAAATTAGTAATATTCCCCTACACCTCAAGGTATTTTAAGGCTCATTATGTTAATTTTTTTTTTTTTGTTTTTTTTAATCTCTTTTTATTACTATACTTTTTTTTTTTAATTTCTCTCCATTTTTTCACTTTCTTTTCATTTTCATGGTCTTTGTCAGCAAGGTTTGATTAAATATATTCAACCTTACGATACATGCATACATCCCTATGCCAAGTATGTATAACTTATATATATACATACATACATACATACATACATACATACATTTGTTCGTCTATAAAAAAATTTGTAACGCCTTTTTATATGCCAACATAGCGTGCTCAAATGACCTTGCTAAATTTTTTGTGGAACAAACATTCCTCGGCAGTAAAATTTTCTCATCTTGTTTTACATGAAATCATATTATTTGAGGATTTTTGCTCATGAATTTATTTACAGCTTTTTATGTTTCATATTTTCGTTTCAAAAATTTATTTTTTTCTATTCTCTAAACAAAATTATAAATAATGGAAGTTTTAAAGGCGCAAAGAGGTGTGTACGTGGCGTATGAGCAATATTTTTTCCGGCTGTTTTGCATATATATATTTCATTTGACACTGCAAACTGCAATTCGTTTCCAGTGCTGGTTCGACCAACATCCAAAAAATAATAGAAAATTAATTGTTATAATTGTGGTCGTCCCTCGACAGTAAAAATCAAGCCAGCCGAGTGCATTGCTATTATAAATGTAAGCGAAAAAAAAATTCCTTTCTCTCAAAAATGCATGCAAACTGTAAACTATGTACTACTCTTCACCAAATGCCAGGCACTTTATCTCTCATGAACTGCATTGCAATGTTGGTTGTAGTATTTGGGAGTTACCATGAAAACGAAAAAGATGAAAATAGTTTTTGGTGGTTTTTCGTGCATTTACCGCGTAAGCAATACGATACTGTCGTGGCCTTATTAATTTTTCATCGGTAATAAGTTTTTTTTTATTTTTTTTCTCGCTTTGATGTCACTTAAAATTGGTTTTGTTTATATAATTCAGAGCATAAATTAGTTTTAATTTTTTTAATTAATTTCAAGCACTGCCGCACCAAATCACATCTTCCCATTTATGCTATTTGATATCTACAAGCTAAGTATAAACATTTTAAAAATTACATATTAATAGGAATTTAACTGAATATTACCATATACATTTTCATGATCTTATCAAACATCAAATTTTATGTTCCTATATCCGTTCTTAGATCCATTTTTGACCCAAGACTTCATAGCTGGTTAAATCTTTTGGGAGATCTATGATATAGACTTTCGATTTCGGTGATTTTCACTATGCAATTCATTATATGTGTGTAAAATAATAAATTTCAAGAATTCAAATATTTTTTGACGGAATTAGAAACCAAAAAATCTAAACTGAAAAAAGACCTTTCCTTTTAATTTTTTTTTTAATATTTGGCAATAATCAGAAAGCCCAAGAAATATGGTGCTGGACGTATTTCTTCGATATCAGAGGTCACAATAAAATTACTCGTTATTTGAGCAGTGTGGGTTGGCGCGTTGTCATGATGTAAAAAGTAGCGCCGCAAATACTCTTTCTTGCTGTTTCCCAAAAAAATTTTTAAAACTTTTGGTAAGCACTCTTCGGTGCACCATATTGCAGTTACCGTTAGTAATGAAATAATTAAAAAAATATTTTACAATTTTTATAGGATTTCCGTTTGCCATTAAAAGCTTTTTCCAGTACTGTACGATTTTGTTCGCTCTCAGATATAATTTCACGCAATTTTTGCAGCTTAAAACACTATTTTATGGTCACCAACTTTGAATAAATCTATACGTATTGCTTGAAAATGCTTGGAATACACATTTGAATATATTTAAAAACAAAATAAAGGTTTATTTTTAAATTCTGTAACAACTGTTTACTTTATTATGCAAATAAAATGCTTGTATTCAAGAACAAAAGCGTTGAGAAACATTTACTCAAGTTTCCTTTACCCTTATCTATGTATATATATGAACTATTTATCGATGCACATTTCATTATATACCTAAATACATACTTCCATTATTTCCACGGTACCTATTACAAGCGATTTATGTACAGTATATACTCATATACATATATACGCTTTGTTATAAATAACCGTTTATTTATACTCCTCTCCTTTGGCTGCAAATGATTTATTTAGAAATTTCCTACAAAGGCGTCCACATTGCCTTTGCCTAACACTTATTCTCCACCACAATTAATTGTCTTTATTAGTTTACACGCTGGATGATAGGCTTAATCAGTTTCACTGCCAAATCGGCGACAAATAATAATACAGCATCTTAAGTAGCACAGGGAGAAAGAGAGAGAGAGAGAGAGTGATCAAGTGATAAGTTTATTGACTGTAATCAATGTTTAATTATATGCCGAAAAGTGGGTTGATTTATTATATAATTGTTTCGGCAATTGTATGCCTTTGAAGAAGCGATTAACTCTTTCTATATATGTATGTATGTATGTCTGCCTAAAATGCATATGTATTTATATAAGTATAAACAAATGTGCCTATGCAATATATTTCTGTATATATGTACATATATATCTACATACACATATCGTAGTGATGTTGACTGCACAATTGTTATAGCATTAATTTTGTTGTTTTTGTTTTACTTTTAATTTCTGGAAATTATGCGCGTTTCGTTATTATTCATTTGATAATTTGTTTGGTTGTTTGCTGATTTCTGATTGATAACATTATTTGTTCTAGTTATCTTTACGTCCTTGCATACATATATTTACATACTTGCATGTAAGATGTTACATACATACATAAGTGCACTTCGTTTTCACTTGGCTGACTTTTATAGTCCCCTCTTCCAACGGTTGGTGATAAGATATTTTACGCAAGGAGACTGTGACTCAATTGAAAATTCCAGCAGTAATGCCTTTCAAATTCAATATATATGTAAATATATATATGTATATATGAAACTGGCGCTTTGTAGCCGCTTAAGCGATTTTCCGCCGAGCTCCCTTCCCAGTTTGTGGTTTTGCGTCTAGATGTTTTTCCAACAAATGGAGGTACCTACAGCCGACTCCGAACGGCTGATGATTTTTTTTTATATACAGCTTGAAATATGTATAAACACACTAAAGTTAGAAGTTGAAAAAACTAAAATTTTTTTATTGCATTATATATATATATATAAATGTTCAATTTGTTTCTTATAATTTTTTTTTTTAAATTTTCAATGGTTTTTGAGTCGCATATATGACAAATTGCCGGCCGTTGAGTTAATATTTTTTTTTCCTTGCCGGTTGTTCCTCTATAGGGAACGGCAACCTCTTCGAAAGTATCTTTGACATGAAAATATTGCCATAGATATTCAAAAAATGCGCTTGGAGCGAACTTAAAACTGTTGATCTATCCATTTGCTGGAGAACCTCAAAACGCCGGACAGAAAAAATCGAAGAAAAAAAGTTGCTTGACTGATGAGCATCAAGCGATATGCATATATTATATTATACATATGTATATATATGTATGAGTATGTAGAGGGTGATTTTTTAGCTATTATCTGTTTGGCAACACTGGTTTAAACAGCTCACACACCTTTCGGGTTTTGTATCACTGTCAAACATCTTCATTTAGGTCTATAATTTAACCATGAATAGGCTTACAATCGAACAACGCTTGCAAATTATTGAGTTTTCAAAATGCGTACACTGTTAAGAAAGTATATCGCGCGCTTCGAAGCTCATTTTTGGCTTAATGGGTGCGTAAATATGCAGAATTGTCGATTTTGGTGTGAAGATCAGTCAGAAGCATTGGAAGAGCTACCAATGCATCCAGAAAAAGTCACAGTTTGGTGCGGTTTCTGGGCTGGTGGCATCATTGGACCGTACTTCTTCAAAGATCCCGCGATTTAATGCTTTTAAACTGTTTTTTGTGGAGCTATGTTAAATCCAATGTCTATACAGACAAGCCCGCTTCAATTAACACAT